TGTATTAGCTGTTAAGGTCACACAGAGATGCAGTAAGGTTTACATCATGGTAGGACTTTTGCCAGTTAAATAGTTAATTTTACACTTAAGAGTGTGAAATCTTACAGGAACTCAGGAGAGCAAAATTTAACCAAACAGGCAATTCTTCCAAAGTAAAGCATTGTTAGCAGATTTTCACCTTCATACTTGCAGCCTCCTTGACCTGACAGAACAAAAGGGTGCTCATAAATGATGTTTTGGAGAAATCCTCCAGCAAATATTGTTTGAATATGCTTTTTCATAAATATAAACAGCAGGTACATATACATGTGTGGAAATGTCACTGATCTTTAAGTCAAAGCTGGTTTTTGGTGCAGGGCTTGTGCTTTGAGCTTGCCAAAGAGCCCAGCCAACTGGAACGGGCTGTGCATCCACCAGGTAATGCACAGGTGAAGTAAGAGATGGCCCATGGGGGCAGCAGAGGCCTGTGACCTCCCTTACAGCCCTGACAATTTTCCCTGTACAGAGCCTTTGCAGTGAAACTCAATGGGAGAAGGGAGAGGAAGAGACAGTTTTGGGTGCACCAGACCTTGGGACAGGAGAGCACTAGTTGATAGGATGGGAGCCTGGCAGGCTGGGGGATGCCGTGAACTGAGGCTGGATCCTGCAGCCTTAACCCCTGGTGTGGTCTGCATGGGGGCAGGAACCAGCTCAGTCCCTAGGGACCTTCTGGGCATCTCATTAAATAAACTGAGGAAACAAAGGGTAATGTTGGCAGAAATGGTGGCTTGGTGGACGAAAAGGCTGTGGGCAGTTGGCAGGGCTTGTGCCATGTAGATCAGCAGCTATTAGAAGTTCCAGTGTAAATGTAACAAGTAGGAAATGGAGAAATGAGTCGTTGAGGTGACGGAGGAGTCGCTTTCCACTGATGAAGGCAGACCAAAGGAATGGTGTTTGCTCTCAGCTAAGGAAGAATTGGGCTATGATAACTTCAGACTACAGCCTTGCCAGCAAACCTCAGCCACTCCTTTGGCTTGGTCCCATCCCAGGGCTTGTGAGGGCCCCGGCCACAGTACTCCTCCCCTTATGGGACTGCCCTGGGGCAGAAGGAGCTGCAGCAGGCATGTGTCCTGCAGAGATTCATTGCTGTGTAGCATATGGGGAGGGAGAGGAGTGCTTCATCTGCACTGTGGGCTTTCAGTGCTTGTTATTAAACAATTACTGGTGCCTGCTTGTTGTCTCAGTGTGTTTTAACCTTAGCCCCTGGGTTGGAGTGTCAGAGGAGAGCTCCCTGCAGGCGCTCTCCTGGCAGTGAAGGACTGGATTGCTTTGCCTTTCACCCCCAGCTGCCTTTTTATTACGCTTACTGTCTTCTCAGGGTGCAGCCTGTGTTCCTGAAGCTGATGTCAGTATTTCAGTGCAAGGCAGAGTACAACTGACCCGAGCAAAATCACACTCCATTGAATCAGTCAAAGAATAAAGTGTCTGTGGGGCCTTTTTCCTGCACCAGAATGATTGCTTTAGTTTGATTGAATTTTCCTCACTGCTTTGGTTTGCGCAGGTTTTGAAAGTGAACCCTAGTGCTGTGTAGACTGGAGGTGATTCCCTTTCTCATCAGTTCTAGAGTAATGCAAAATCAGAAAGAACTGATGGAACCCGGCTTCTCTGTAATTTATTCACAAGTTCTTAAAAAAAATCTGACTTTCAAAACAGTTGCTGGAATGTGTGAGAGAAAAACTTGTCTTGGAGATGTGATTCCAGGTTGTTTCAAGCTTTCCAGATCTGAGAAGGAGAGGACTGGTCCTTTGGGCAGGTGTGAACGGTGGCCTTCCTGCGACTTCACTTGCCCTTGGAAAACCTCAAAAGCCAAGCTCGATACCAAGATCTAGTCCACTGCTTTCCTTCAGGCAACATAAGCTTGATTTAAAGCCCAAGAGATGTTTGTTCAACCTGTTCTTTACATGAAGATGGAGACTACAGATCACCCCTTCCAGATGGGGTTTGGTTTGTTTTTTATATAGCAAATTTTCTTGTACGGAGCAATTGACAGTGGCAGCTTGTGCCTGAGCTGAGCAAAGCCTGTGCTTGGGCTGCTGCTGGAGGCGTGAAGAGGAGGGAGTGTGTGATTCCTGCCAGGTGGTTATTGTTCCTCTGGGGGTTTCCCATCCCACGCTGCCAGTGCCTGTGATATCTTGTTTTCTGCTGCCGGTATCTTTGTGAGCACTGTGGTGCTCTTACGGCTCTGGAGGTGGTATCGGGAGTCTGAGAGATCAGACAAACTGTAACCCAAATGAGCGGCCACTTCTCTTGCTGCTGGGAACACGGAGCCCAGCTTGCTCTTCAACACTTCACCTGCAATGCCCAGTGTTTCCACTGCAGTTGTGCGTGCAAGGCCTGGATTCCCTCCTTCTTCCCCTTGGTCACCTTTCCTTCTCCAGCCTTTCCCCTCTCCTGTCCCATTTTGATTTTTGATTCTTTTTGTGCATGTCATGGAATCATAGAATCCCAGCCTGGTTTGGGTTGGAAGGGACCTTAAAGCTCATCCAGCCCCAACCCCTGCCACAGGTAGGGACACCTTCCACTAGAGCAGCTTGCTCCAAGCCCCTGTGTCCAACCTGGCCTTGAACACTGCCAGGGATGGGGCAGCCACAGCTTCTCTGGGCACCCTGTGCCAGCGCCTCAGCACCCTCACAGGGAAGAGCTTCTGCCTAAAAGCTCATATAACAGTCTCTGTCAGTTTAAAGCCATTCCCCTTGTCCTGTCCTTTCACACACAGACCTCTGTATATGTATAGATCTATCTGTTCCTTTCTGTAGTTTGATCCTGGATGCAGTTTTGGCCCTGCTTTTGCTATGCTACTCACTCCTCTCTTAGCACCCAAAGCCCCGGTGTGCCTCTGCAGCTCTTCACCCCATGGCAGCAGAGCTGAGCTGTGATACTGTGGCACCCGCCTGTGCCATCACCACCTTCCCAGGGTTCCCGGAACCCAGGGCTGAGCAAAACCACTTTGAGAATGGTACAAGGTGTGCAGGACAGGATGGGCTGGAAGTGGTAGGACACACCAATGTGGGCCATCCAAAACTGCAGCCAGCGGAGAGGCCCCCCGTGCACAGGGCACAGTGCTTCCCTTTTCCCACAGCAGTCAGGTGCCTTTCTGGTTGCATTGCCTCAAGCACTAGCATGCTGGACATGGGCAGTGTGGAGACAGGAGTCCTGTCCTTGGAAAAGCAATGGTGAAGCATCCTCTTGTTGTTTGGGCAGGTGAGATTGTAGATAATACTGGCTTTTCAAGGCAACTTTTTAATGACTGCTGACAGGGAGAGAAGCATTTGAATTTATGTCTGTTGGCATCATCTCTGCTCCCTGAGCATGGGGAGGAGGAACATGCGGCTTGTGACTGTCAGACATGCCACAGTCCTCCCCTTGCCAGCGTCTCCTGATGGGCATGGGCAGCATGGGCCATGAGTGCTGCGCTGAGGCTCCCGCACAGGGAGCTGGGGCAGAGGAGCCCATCTTAACCAGCTCATCCCTGCCTTGCCTCCAAGATCCTGCCTCTCTCATGGCACAGGACTTAGCCTGTGTTCTTGGCACTGAGGAAGGCTCCCTCAGCACTGCTGCACTCATTGCCTCCAGTCTTGGCTTTCCAGTCTATTCCTTGACATACTACTTCTGACAGCTGCTTCAGGATCTCTGTCCTATGCTTCCAAAGGGAACAGTATCCCTGAAGTGGCAGCAGTGGATGCAGAATGAATTAACAACTCCAGGTGGTTTCTGAGCTGCAGCTAAGCTGCAGGTCTTGCTGCTCCACTCCCATGTCATGGGGAGCCTGGCCAAGCTCTGGGTTTCAGTTGTGTCCATGCTGTCAGCCTTGCTCAGGGCCAAGGGCTTGCTTTTCTCTGCATTGCTGGTGAGGATTAATGCTGGATCTCCTCACTGTGCATTGCTTGAGCTCTCCCAGCAGCAGTTGCTGTCCAGTCTCTCCTGATGGAGGCAAGCCCTCAGGAACAGCAGGGCTGATCTTAGACCAGCCGCAGCACCCACCAGCATCCTGCAACCTCTGCTCAAAATCCCGTGGTAATCTTTCCTGTGTAAGTGGAGCACGTGCGACTCCTCCGGCTGCTCTGCTGCATTTGTGGTTGCTGTCAGCTCTTCACTCACCTGAAAGCTCGGCAGAACATCAGGTGCTGCAGGCACAGGCGCTGCTCAAACCAGGTATGCCTCTGAGTTTTGTTTCTTTGCAGTCCCTGCGGCTTACAGCAAGAAGGAAGAGCAGCCTGAGCCTCCTCCGCTTGGTCCCTCCATCTCCAGGGCTTGTCCGGGGCTGTTCTCCCAAGAGCCCCGGAGATGCCCATGTCTCAGTTCTTAGGATCAGAGGCGGCTCTGCCCATTGTGTCAGCTCTTGCCATACTTGCAGTCTCTTGCCGTTTTCATTCTCTAAGATGTCAGGGCCCCAGGCATCCTGGCTTTCCCACAGAGACATTTAAACCCGCTTAGGGTTTGCTGAGGCCGTTTCTCATTGAGATACAGGCTTCTGGTTCCAGGGATTATGTTCACAGAGGACCATGGGAAGAGGTCTTTCTGAAGGCACTTGTGTTTGGATGGCTGGATGTTTTGCAGAGAGCATGAGTAAGGTTTTCCTGGGACATCCCTGGCAGTGTTCAAGGCCAGGTTGGACACAGGGACTTGGAGCAAGCTGCTCTAGTGGAAGGTGTCCCTGCCCGTGGCAGGGGTTGGGGCTGGATGAGCTTTAAGGTCCCTTCCAACCCAACCCAGTCTGATCCTACGCTGCCATTTCTGCTTGATTCTCACCTGGTTTAGGACACAAGGGCTGCTCCTGTGCAAATCCACCCCCTCAACTGCTGGCTGCGGAGCCTGTGCCAGGAGCGTTGGGAGGAGGACGAGGCCCGACTCCCGCACCGGGAGCACCCCAGCAGCGGCCACCCCGTTGATGCTGGGCCCATCCAGGGCTCGCTCTCAGCGGCGGCCCAGGGGAGGCCCGGGTGGATTCTCCTCCCCCGCCCCGGTCCCGGTGGCGGCCCCGGCTCCGCGCACGCGCGGCTCCCGCCCCTCCCTCGCGCACGGCCGGGCGCAGCGGCAGCATGAAGGACCGGACCGGGGAGCTGCGCGCCGTGAGTGGGGGGGCGCGGGCCGCGGGGGGGACCGGGGCCGGGGCTGGGGCTGGCACCCCTGAGCCTCGCGGCGACGTCGGGGCCAGAGCGGGGTTTCCCCGGGCATCCCCCGGGCTCCTCCCGCTCCGGTTCTCCCCCGGGGCCGGGCGGCTCGGGCGGCAGGCGCTGGCCCGGGGGCACCGGGGGGCTGAGGGCCATACCCGGGATGTTTATGATTGCAGGCGGCGGGAGGGCGGCGCCCGGCGGGGGGGTGCGGGGCTGCGGCGGGAGCTCCCGCGGGCAGCGGGGCCGAGCAGTGCCGGAGGCCCCCGATACCCCCCTTTAGCCCCCGTTACCCCCCGGGGCCGCTTCACGCCCCGGCCGCCTCCGTTTGCTTTTTCATTCTCCGGGCTCCGCTGATGTCATCCGGGCTGGGCAGAGCCGGGGCCGCGGCGCCCCCGGGGGGGCACCCGCCTCGCTCGGATCGCCCTCCGCAGCCCCCCGCTGCCGGCGTCCGCTCGGCTCCCGGTGCGGTGCCCGCGGGGTGCGCTGGGAGGCTGCCGCGCGTCCCGGGGGAGCGCCGGGTCCCGGTGTAACCGCGCAGTGTCCCGGGGGCGCGGGGCCGAGCGCTGCAGCGTGTGCGGGCAGCGGGGATGCGCGGGGGGGGGGGGGGGGGGGGGTGGCCGAGCTCGGAGGGCCAGGGCGCTGCTCCAGCATCCCCCCGCCCGGTGCCATCGCCCCGCGCTCACTCTGCTGCTTTCCGTGGTTGGTTTGGATGACTTCACGGTCTGCCCGGGGAGGAAGCAGGGTCTGCCATCGCCGGGGGGGTGTCCGTGTCGAGCCACGGGTGGGGAGATATCGATGGATGCCCGGGTCGGTCCCCACAGAGACCCTCATCAGGGAGTTGCTTCAGCCGGGAATTTGGCTCCATCTGGAAAACCCCAGGAGGATGGAGCTGGGATGATGCCAGCACAGGGCTCAGCGGTGGCTGTTGGGGTGAGGGGTGGTTGTTGGTGCTGAGGGATGGCTGTCGGGGCTGGGGAAGGAAGGGGCTATATAAAGAACTGCAACCCCCCCCCCCCCCGCTCAGCCTGGAAAGCATCCAGACAGGGGGCTCTTTCTCCACCAACAGCACAGGCTGTGTAATAGGATTGGAAAATAGGCTTTTTAATAATAATAATAGTAAAGATGAGCCCCACGAATGTCCTCTTGGCAGCCAGCGCTGGCTGGGAAGTGATGCTGTGGGGTATTCTAAAATCTCTTCATTCCTTTAAATACATCTTGAGAAAAATAAGACACGTTCTTGCCTCACTCCTGCTGCTGATCCGTATTCGTCAGCCTAATGCTGGAGGGTGCAGCATCCTCCTGAGGGCTCCCTGCTGCATCCGGGGGCTCCTGGGGATGAATGGGTGGAGTCCAGTTTGGAGCATCCGGATGCCCCAGAGCTGAGCGGGTGCCCATGCTGGGGCAAAGCCTGTGGGAAACGTGGGTTTCCAGCCTTGGTGGTGGCAGTCAGCTGAGAAGAGCCGGATGCTGCAGTGGACAGAGTATGGGGCATATTGGGGCAGGTTTGGTTCATGCTGCCAGCAGCCAGCCTCACCCACAGGCTGGGCCAGTTTCTTCCTGTTTTAATACAGCTTCTAAAATATGGCAGGAATGATCAAAAGCAGATTAAAGCCATTGCTGGAGCTGAGGAGGGGGCGCAGGGTCTCACTGATGTGCAGAGCAAGAGCTAATGGGATGTTTAAAATGGTACTTGAAATTCAAAGCTCTCATCCTGTGTCTTTTCTGAACCTTGGGGCTCTGGTTGTGTTCAAACTCGCTTAAGCTTATCTCGTGCCCTGTGGGGATGAGGGTTGTGGTAGTGCCCCCAGCCCTGCACCAAGCTGGGGACAGGAAATTCAGCTTATGGCTGAAAACCGTGCTCCTCATGTGGAGGCAGCACAGCAATGCCTGGCTGGGGAGGGTGCCTGGAAGGAGAGCAGCAGAGCTTCGATGTCAGCTGCATGTGGGTAGGTGCCACAGCTTTGGCCATGGGTGGTGGTTTCTGCCCATCTGGAGTGGGGCTGGAGCTGGTCCCCTTCCCTGGAACCCGCAAAAGCAGCCCTGCTGCTGCAGGTGTTGGTGGCAGAGCAGGGATGGGACAAAAATTACCCGTAAAAGAGTTCATTTTACTTTTGGGACAGTCTCTAAGCTGCTTGTCCCTGTGCTCTGGGCACCTGAAATGTCTTTATTTAGGCTCTGCTTGTGTTATGTGCTTGGAAGCTTGAGGAGTGTGGTGCTGAGGCTGCTGCATGTAAAAAGCTGTCAGCAGCTGCAGATGGGGGAAGATCCAGAGCTCTGCTGCCTGGGCTCAGACGGGCATCCCAGCTGGGTGCTTCAGGGCTGTGAGTGGCCTGTGCAGCTCCATCCTGCCTGGGCAGTGTCAGAACAGTCTGGGTGAGATGTCAGGATTTCAGGGTGTGAGACGGGTCCAACTGGTGAAATAACGATGAATTATGTTTTGAGAGAGAGTGGGAGGAGGTGACATGTGCGAGTGTCATAGGATCACAGAGTGGTTTGTGTTGGAAGGGACCTAAAAGCTCACCCAGCTCCAACCTCCTGCCACAGGCAGGGACACCTTACACTGGAGAAGGTTGCTCCAAGCCCCTGTGTCCAAGCTGGCCTTGAACACTGCCAGGGATGGGGCAGCCACAGCTTCTCTGGGCACCCTGTGCCAGTGCCTCAGCACCCTCATGGTACCACATTTCTCCCCTATGTCCAACCTCCCGCCACCCTTGTCCAGTTTAAGCCCATCGCCCCTTGTCCTGTCCCTGCAGGCCCTGCTCAAAAGTCTCCATCTTTCCTCTAAGCCCCCTTGAAGTCCTGAGCAGCCACAGGAAGGTCTCCCTGGAGCCGTCTCTTCCCTGGGCTGCACAGCCCCAACTCCCTCCCCTTTCTCCACAGCAGAGCTGTCCCAGCCCTCGGGCCGTTTTGGAGGCTCCTCTGGACCCACCAGGTCCATGCATGTCTTGTGCTGGACGCAGAGCTCCAGGGGGTCTCAGGAGAGCAGAGCAGAGGAGGAGCATCCCCTGCCTCGACCTGCTGGTCACGCTTGTGGTGATGAGCCCAGGAGACACTTGGCTTTCTGGGCTGCAAGCGCACACTGCTGGACCATGTCCTGGTTGTCACCCAACAGTATCCCTGAGTCCTTCACAGGGCTTCTCTCCATCCAACCAACCATCCATGCATCCATCCATGCATCCATCCATGCATCCATGCATCCATGCATCCATGCATGCATCCATCCATCCATCCATCCACCCACCCACCCACCCACCCACCCATCCACCCACCCACCCATCCACCCATCCACCCATCCACCCATCCATCCATCCATCCATCCATCCATCCATCCATCCATCCATCCATCCATCCATCCTTCCCTGCAGTCTGTGCTGGTACTGGGGATTGCCCTGACCCAGGCACTGGACCTTGCCCTTGGCCTGGTTGAACTTCATGAGGGTCACACAGACCCACTCCTCCACCAGCCTGCCCAGGTCCCTCTCATGCCACGCTTCCCTCCAGCCCATCGACTGCACCACTGCGCAAGGGCCGGCTGCAAAGGTGCTGAGGGTGCTCCTTATCTTTCTCTGTCAGTGCTGAAGGTGTCAGGCCGGCTGTGGAAGTGGCATTTGGCAGTTGTTGGTTCCAGAGTGCCCTGTTTCCAGCAACACTCAACTCCTTGTGCTTGCTCCGCAGTGCTGAAGGGAGAGGATGCCAAAGTGTTGCAGGCTGCTGCGAGATGCCTGCTTGGGCCAGGACCGGGGGTTTCGAGGGGACACAGGAGCTGCAGGGTTATGGGGCTCGGTGGCTGGGTGGACCTGGATGGTTTGGGTCAGGGTTGCTGTCGCTCGGGGAGCTCCACACACTTGGTGTTGCTGGTTGTTAGAAACACGTGGCTGGTGATTTCGGGAGAATGGACTCTGCTGTCAGCAGTTCACACAGCCAGTGAGCAGAATTACCAATAGTTCTCCAGTTCTGCTGACTGCAGCAGTCACTGGGCTCTACTTGGGTGGGGAAAGACCATTTATCAGCTGGCAGATCCTCTCCCCATTCTCTACCAGACAGTGCTCACCTGATGTTTTATCTTGCAATTGCATGGTGGAAGTGTTCCTGGAGATGGACACTGCCCACATCATGGGTTTGGGTGCTGCAGGGAGAGGTTTGGCAAGGCCAGTGTCCAGGCCTGGTGGGTTTCAGTGGTGGTGGAAGCTCCCCCAGCGTGAGAATGACCTTCCCCACAGAGGTGACAGGAGAACAAGGACAGTTTGGCCTGGAGGCCCCCCTTGGGTCCCCAGCACAGACCTTGTGTGATGGGACCAGTCGTCTGCCTAAGACTGGATGGCTGCAGAAGTATTTGTAGGACTGAAGCCTTAGCAGTTGCTTGCCACAAAGCAAGCGTAGCAAGTGATGGGCACATTCCTGGTCACCGTCCAGTTGGGTCTGAGGACTTGCCTTGCTCAAATGAGTGTTGACTGAGAACAATGCCTCTGGGATTTGAAGAGTTGCTCTTTATTTCATGTCTACCTTCTGTTTCTCATCATACCTAGCTTTTGAGTAGGGAGGTGGTTCCCTGCCCACGCCAACAGGAGAGGCATGAGCACAAACCCAGACCCACTGTTGCACGTCTCCAGCTTCCGAATGATTTCCTGGGCCCCTTTCCTCCTGCGCCCGTTCTCCTCTCTGCTGGCCGTTTCCAAGGGCCTCTCTCCAGCAGCGTCCATGTCCGTGTGCTGTGCTGTTCTGCCCAGTGACTGACCCCATCCCCACTCCTGCCTCCACGTTCCAGATTCAAGCACTGCCTCCTGCCCACGGGAGCCGTGGGGAGGTGTGTGTTAAAAACAGGAGGGTGCAGGAAGCAAGGTTGGCTCCGGGTCCAGTTCTGTGGATCCCCGCTCTTCCCTCCTGCAGAAGCTGAGATCTGCAGCGCGGGCATTGAGGACTTGCAGCCGGAGCTTGCTCCATCCCCTGCTGTCAAT